TTTAACTATATATAATTATATATATATATATATATATATAGGCTTCTTAACACATAATGTTCAGGAAAAGATCCGTGTTTAAACTTTAAAAAAACGTGTTTTTAAAAGTTTTAAAGTATGCATAATTTCACCTACAGTACAGGCCAAAATCCCGTCTAGTTTATTTTATTTTCATTGCTTAAACAAACTGAAAAACTGTTTTACTGTTGCAAATGCTTACCTAAATAAAACCTGATAGATTTATAGCACAGATGTAAGTATTTGAGTGCGTTTTGAAAATCATTCAGCTCCAAGAACAGCCTAGCTTCATGGGGACCAGCGTAAGTGTGAACGAACACAGTGAATCCTTCTCGTAAAGTTACAAAGTTTAGGGATGTCTGAAACACAAACATACTGATTATTTAAAGACGACAAATAATCACGTGTAGTAGGTGATTTTTATACAGTATAACATTTCACTATAAAGAATGATGGTTTTGATAGCTGTAACCATCAGCAACCGTTTTCTAGTGTTTATTAAACCCTACATTTTTCTCAAGCTTTTCTAATATTCATCGAAAACTGGGTTGTTAAAACATATATTACAACTGGAAAAGTAACATTTTTGCGTATAAAGAAATATATTAGACTTTTGAGATAAATGGGATTTTTTTTGTTTTCTAATATATCACCATTAAGCAAAACCTCAGGACAGAAGCAGCAACGAAATGTCAAACTTTAATTTCCTTCCAACTTCGTGCTACAAATAAATATTGGTAAAAAATAAACTCATGAAAGGCAATATAATTTCAATATTTTATCCAGTTAGATAATTTTTTAAATTCAGGTGTAAGATGATAAGCTGATTTTCGTAGTATTTAATAAAAACATAACATTCTATGAAGTATAACCTTTACAATGACTTATATTTAAAAGCATTGAAGTTTGACGAGGAACTCGGATTTCGCCTTACCTGATAGGCTGTAATTCTAAAATTGTTTTTTCTTGTTGTTTTTGCTACAGACACTAAATATTTTTTAAATCTTATGATACAAAGTTAAAGTCTAAGCAAGTAACAGAGCCTGATTCGTATTTAGCTATTACTGAAGTGTATATCTATTTGGTATAAACAAGATCGTTAATGGTATATCCACACCGCTGTGTTGGTCTTAATTCTGCAGGTACCTCTCTCACTAAGGCATATTGAAAATAATGATATATGGTATGATATATATTACAGTGTACATACAAGTATCAACTGATAAAACACGCTATGGTTTGTGTCTTTTTCTTATTTGTATATATTTTATATGCTTTTTATACTTGTACTAGTCTGGAAAGCTGCTTTAAAGTATCGCCCAAATGTAATGAGATGCATTTCTTACGCTCTCTTTTCACGTTTTGTGCAATATTCATAAATAAATTAATATATATATATATATATATATAATAGTTTTACCGTTAGTGGGGGAGGCGGTATCCCCAAGTACGGTGGAATGTACATCTTTACTGTGAAACCCATCCCACAACTCCGATTACTTGTTTGGATTGACGAAAACAAATCGATCTGCACCAGAAGTGGAGCAACAGGATAGATCCTTCTCTCTTGTACGTTATCTCCTAAAACATTATAGAATAGATATTATGGCACGTGAATAAAAAAGGAATAATTTCATAGTTATTCAATCTGGAAAACTCACATGATATATATATTAAGGGATAATCGGAGTTTTCTACATTCTAGACGTGACAAAGCACAACCATTGATGTTAAACAATGTCAATGGTACTCCTGTGTTCATTTTTATACTAAACAAGTATAACGTAGCCAGTCATGGTTGATAAACATATTTCAGTGGTATGTAAAAAAAGAGGAAAGAACAGTGTGTTTTCACTTAGCAGTTTGAATAGCATAGTGATAACGGTATCCAACACGATAGTGAATATGCAAGGAGACGAAAGAAGACATTGAGACATTTCCGTGAAGTTGAGATCAAGTGGGTCCCTAGAAACACAAGACTCACAAAGTGACTTTCAGACCATCAACACAATTGACCGGAGACCAGAACAGTGTAAACCTTTGACGAAAATCCCGCAATACGACCGAATTTTTGCAATTATAGTTTGAACCCAACAAGCAGACTTCAATCTCTCAACTGAACTACCTGTTCAAAGTATCAAATGGATGGCAAGTCAATACGTAAATGGTAAGAAATAGGCTTCATTATATTAGCTTTTATCCCAGAAAATCAACAATCTAAGTTTCTCTAACAATTTCCGGAAAACTATATGTCTTCATCAGTGTCAGTAACATGTGGATTGGTTAAACTTGTCCCCCTGTTGTTTGAACACTCTCCTTGATTTTTGTTTGTTTATTGTTAAGCATAAAATTGCACGATGTGCTATCCATGCTGTGCCCACCACAGGTATCGAAATCCAGTTTATAGCATTATAAGCTTTTAGACATACGTACAACTAAGCTGGAGGGGGGGGGGGCTATTTGAATAAATTGAAGTGCAAATGTAAACACCGTAATAAATTAAAGCAGGTACAATCTTCCCTTTAAACTTTCTGTTTTTCAATTTGTTTATAATATGTACTGGATATTTTTTGATGGATTGTTTAGGCAGAGTATTTATGTTGAAACTGTTATGGACCAGCCACTATCAAAAAGATCAACATCTATAATAAAAATCTTACCAAGCTTGAACACTGCTTTAATCACCTGACATTCCTACTATGTTGCAGACATTCGAACATCTTCCTCGTCTCCACGCGTTTCTCAACAACCCACACTCGGTGTTAAAATTATATTAAGCCCAGTGGCTCTACCAAAATTATTTTGGCATTAACTTTTTCACCGTGACTGGTGAAGAGAAACAAAAATTTCTGTCCACCCTGGGTTGTCTTTCAGGCCCCAAAATCTTTTTTGAGGCTTGAAAGATTTTTAAACCTAAATTCCTGCCACGAAATTTTGTTTTTGTTTTTGACACACTGGCCTGAAGACAAAAGGCGGAAGACTTTCGAAACGTCGTCCTCACACTTGTGTCTCTACAACAGGCAGTTGCCGTCCATTCAACTAAGTTTCATCATGTAGTTGATACTTCCAATGAAAAAGTGTCATTAAGTTAAAACCTTTGATACAATAAAACCTTTCTTAGTTGTATTGATTCTAGCTCAGTTCAACCCTAGGTTACAATGCTATAAACCAGGTTTCGATACCAGTGGTGGGCAGAGCACATATAGCCCACTGTGTAGCTTTGTGTTTAACTTCAAACAAACAAAGTCAAACCTAGGTAAAAGCTAAGATTTAATGAAAAACAAAATATGAGCTTACATCTCCAAAACATTCAAAACTACAGATAAGTACTTGCTTATATGGAAGTATTACCCTTTTTTATTTTAGCATAGAAGCAAGAAACTTTTATTATTATTTTGGATGTAAAATAAAAAAGCCTTTCACAGTGTTAAAAGTAAAACAGCTGACAATACCATAAAGTATATTTTGATCATTTCACACAAGTATCAAGATGTATATTTTTACTGTATATGTGTAACATGCAACGTATCTGAAAAACCGATGTGATGAATTAAAAACTCAGAAACAAACTTTTTTACATCTTTGAAAAAAAACTAATGTTAAAGGAATTTACAAATATCATCTGGTAATTATTTTCTGCGTTAGGATGTAGGAACATTATAAATGTTATAGAAACAAACCTCAATAATAAACTGAAGCGGAGAAGAATCGCATCAAATTCTAAAGTCAACTCAAAAGACTACAACAAAATATGTTAAAACTAAATAGTTATCATAATTTCCTTTTTTACATATATAGTAATAATGGCCAAATTATAAAGTTGCAACATGATCATAGCTTCCACCATACAGCAAAAATCCAGTTTGGGATTTTAAGAAGAATTAAAGAGCATATATTAAGAGACTCTATTCAAAGTAAACTGTATATTTAGATTATAACTACGACAGTTTATCAGTATACATTATAGAATACAATACTGTTTAACAAACGGACTAGAAATACTTCATATTATACATGAATACACTAGAAAGTAATTAGATTCAATAGAAAAGTTAGTTCGGTATCATTGCTTGAACAATATTTTCGAACATATTTGTAATGCTACTGATACACTATTAGTAGCTGCTCATTCTCAAAAGTTTGTAAATAAGCAAAGTGGTCTTTTAATTTTCAGATATTACAAGTTGTCACCGTAAGATCAAGGTCAAATTAATATCTTGAATGCTGGCTATCAGATAGCGCAGATGAGATACTGGGGAAAGGGGGCTACAGTTCAAGTCAGTAGTTAAAATAATTTACATAAAATCCAAACAGGGGTGTTCATGTTGTTTAAGTAACGTACATCATCATCATTCAATCAACTACTTAAGTATAAGTATTTATTATGTTTTAATTACGTTGACTAAAACAATTATATCCAGCTGATTAACTGTTAAATCAGCCATTTTTCATGAGCTTTCTTGTCCATCTTTCAGTTCCCTTTCTTTCTATAAGATTTATTAATAAGATAAACAGGCATTTTTACCAAGAGCAATCCTTAAGATTTTGTAGCTTAAAGTGATATCTGTATACATAAATAATTAAAATAGCAAATACCATAATGGCTTCTAAACTTACTTTTAAACTCAATCGTTCAATTTTATACAATTGCAATTAATATTACTATTATCTGAAATCATCAACAAATTTAAACATTTACACAATTTAGAATTTAAAGTGTATCTGTGGAAATGAATTTCAATCGATAAATGATGATCCACCATATGACAAAGGTACTAATACTTACCATTGCGATACTTCTCCAATGTAACCTTGGCTGCTGCAACAGTAGCATTCAAGTCGCACAGGATACGATTATCGGAAGCCAGAAATGTGGCTTCTCTGTATTTCCGTTCCTGGATGAAGTAAGCGTAGTCTTTAATTACCGAAAACTCTGGGCAATCTCGACCTAACGTAAATAAGCGATTTCGGAATATATATAATAGTGATCATTTACAGTTTCTTCAAGAAGTAGTTACCATACATCTTTAAATAAACACTTTTAAGCACCGTACATATTCACAAAAGGCATTAATACTACGCAAAGACGGGCATTTTCAGTGTTTCTAGCTTATGTCTTAAATACTTAGATATTATTTACTTTCCTTAATAACATTCACACAGGATACAAAACCGTTAGATGGTTAATACCATAGATACATTAATGGCACATCTAAATAACAAACATTTCTCTCGATACTGGAGAAGGGATGTAATTTGTACTTACCCTTCCACTTAATACACACAGACAAACAAGTTTAAACATGAAGTAAAAATTACTTTAAATTTATACTTTTAACCGAAAGTGATGCTAACTCACATATATAAAAGTAGAAAGCACAAACAGGTTTAACAGAAGACGTTATAATGTAAAGTAACAATCTTAACACTGATCAACCACAGAGTTTCTTTAATAGAAGTTGTTAGAAGGTACTGATCTATCTAAACACTAATCAAATACATCGTAGTAAAAGATGTAAGTTACTTTAACCGACTTTATTAAAAAGACTAAGCTTAGCATTGATCAAACATATCTTGCAGAAGTTACGAGATACTTAAACAGAAGACTTTACTAGACAGTACTGATCTAAACAGTGATTACAAAATTATTTTCACAGGTTTTAGTAACTACATTAATAACAGAAGGAATAGTTAAGGTAGCACTGACCCTTAAAGGGGGTCCCAATGTTTTTCAAATGTAGCCCAAATCAAAAATATAATTTTTTTTCTATATAAATAACTCATATATGTCTTAAAATCTTTACTAATGAGCCTGTAGTAAGTGATTTAAAATACAAGTCTAGTCCGTTTTCACTTCACCATTAAAGTCAATATCAGCATGAAATTTAGCACACTTGTTGATATTATACTCTGCCATAGCTTGAATTTTTTAAATTCAAAATGTTTACCAGTTCTCTTGTTATGAGTCTAATTACCACTAACGAAGGCATTAATTAAAAGTAATTGCCCATAGCTCGTTAACATTGTAGAAAATTTGTAAATGTTTTAATTCAATCTATGAGAATGTTCAAAAAGAGTTTATCAATTTTCACATGTTTATATCATTCCTAAGTAAAGTTATGGTGTTAAAAAAGTTTATGTTACGTATTTCTTTATCCCTACCATCAAACTTGGGACATCAAACTTTTGTTTTATACTCAACTTGAAGGTTATAAGAATTGTTTAATAGTGTTTACATGTAAATTTGCTCAGTTTTAGGGATCAATGCTACGTTAAAGCACCTATTAACCTTTATAAAAAACGAAGGTTAATCAACTTTTTTTTTCCATAAAATCCAAGATGGGATGAAAAGAATGCACAGAAAATATACGTGACTACTTCCCCTTCTTGACGTTCAGGAAGTGTTAAAAACTTACCATCACAGAAGTCTACTTCCTCTTCTTGACGTTCAAAAAGTGTTAAAAAACTTACCATCACAAAAGGCTACTTCCTCTTTTTGACGTTCAGGAAGTGTTAAAAACTTACCATCACAGAAGACTACTTCCTCTTCTTGACGTTCAGGAAGTGTTAAAAACTTACCATCACAGAAGACTACTTCCTCTTCTTGACGTTCAGGAAGTGTTAAAAAACTTACCATCACAGAAGACACTGCTGATTATTTTCCGTTCTTGACTGTGTGTCAGAAAAAATGTCCGAGGCTGAAGTTGGTTTTCCAGAGGACTGCATTTAATACGAATAATAAAATTTTCAACGAGGTTTACTAAAACAGTATATTCAATACTAATAAGAAACCACATTAAAACAAAAGGTTATTATATGAATTTCGGACAGGTCTAACTATATATTTGACTGACAAGAAGTGATACTAATAGGCCTATCTATAAGAAGCCTGCTAACCCATTTTTGATCAAGAAAATTAGAGCAGGAAGAGATTGGTTTAAAGAATCCTGAAATATTTGTTCGTTTTCTTGTTTGTATTACTTAATAGTGAAAACTGTCATCTTTGAAAGCCATTTTTCCGGTCAACCGAATTAATTTCAGCAAAAAAAAAAAACGTTTTATACATAACAAAAATAGTTAATTTTATTTATTGGAATTATCAGCCATATTTCTATAAATTAAATACATACATTTACTTATCTATCCTTACCGATATGAGAAGTACACTGAAAATATAAAGCTTGAGTATATTTGTGGCGTTAATGATGGGCACGGTTATCATTCGTGGATTTTCAACAAAGTCAATAATTACTATCTGTCTAGTGAATAACGATAAAGCTGGAGATCCATGAGTGCTCTAAGGATGACAAATAGGATAAAACTTCATAATAAAGCTAAAACTAATCGTTTCGGCGTCTTTTTCATTCCATATACACCCAAAATCAATCTGGTCAAAGTCACATATAACTATTTATTATTTTTTTTTCCTCTTCTTTGGTACCAAAAGTATTCTTTTCCCAAAAATTAAAAGATAATTCTGTGAACCAACTGTGATGACCTAAAGCGTAACTGTCTTCGCAATGTCATATTATGTAATTATCGAAAACATAATGTACATTATGTAATTATCGAAAACATAATGTACATTATGTAATTATCGAAAACATAATGTAC